TCCTGTCCTGCTGTGTCCCCCTGTCCTGTCCTGCCTGTCCCGGCTCTGAGCCCGGAGCAGCCTCTGGATCCAGCTCCGGACACGCCGAGCAGGGCTCTGTCCCCTGTCCCCTGAGCTGGGGACGCTGGCCCAGCCCCTGACGCTGTCCTGTGTCCCCAGGCCTTGCTGTGGGACTCGTTCCAGCGGGTGCAGCAGCAGCTCCTCAAGCGCCAGCCCTTGGCCGACCCCCCCGTGGTGCCCCCCGGCCACCGACCCCTGTCCAGGGCCCAATCGTCCCCGGCCACGGCCAGCGCGTCCCTCCCTGCCCAGGACACCAAGGCTCTGGCCCTGCCCGTGCAGGAGCCCCAGCCACACTTCACCACAGGTACAGCCACACCTGCCTGGGACGGGAGGGGACGTGGGGATGGCCCCGGGCAGCTCCACATCCATCCTGGCCATCCCCGGATCCTTGGGAGCGCCAAGCTGGGGGAGCCCCTTCTCCTTCTCTCAGGTGGCTTTTCCAGGTGGGGTTTGCTCACCTGGCTCATTCCTGGGCCACCTCTGCTGGGAATGCAAGGCAGGATGGGCTTCCAGCAGGTTTGGGAGAGAGGCCCTGGGGATTTGGGGTAGAATCTCCCCAGTTTGGGACAGAACCTCCTGTGGTTTGAGGGGGATTTGGGTCAATGTTTGGGGTCTTGGAGCCCCCAGAGGAGCTGAGGGAGCAGCTCTGGCTGTGCCTGGCAGGGCTGGTTTACGACTCGGTGATGCTGAAGCACCAATGCTCCTGTGGAGACAACAGCAACCACCCCGAGCACGCCGGGAGGATCCAGAGCATCTGGTCCCGGCTGCAGGAGCGGGGCCTGCGCAGCCGCTGCGAGGTGAGCCCAGCTCCGTCCCTCTGCATCCCATTCCATCCCTCCTCATCCCATTCCATCCCTCCTGATCCCATTGCATCCCTCCTGATCCCATTCCACCCCTCCTGATCCCATTGCATCCCTCCTGATCCCATTCCATCCCTCCTGATCCCATTGCATCCCTCCTGATCCCATTCCATCCCTCCTGATCCCATTGCATCCCTCCTGATCCCATTCCATCCCTCCTGATCCCATTCCATCCCTCCTGATCCCATTCCATCCCTCTGCATCCCATTCCATCCATCCTGATCCCATTCCACCCCTCCTGATCCAATTCCACCCCTCCTGATCCCATTCCATCCCTCCTGATCCCATTCCATCCCTCCTGATCCCATTCCACCCCTCCTGATCCCATTCCATCCCTCCTGATCCCATTCCACCCCTCCTGATCCCATTCCACCCCTCCTGATCCCATTCCACCCCTCCTGATCCCATCCTCACCCATCCCTGCTGCCTCCACCCCTCCTCCCCCTGTTCATCACCATTTTCTGGGTCAGCCCATCCTGCTCTGTCCTTCCCCCCGGGCATTCGGGCTCTGCTGGAACCCAGCTGGGCACAGGGAGGGGCTGATCCCTCCAAACCCAGGTCCCGCCTGGTAAAACCCTGCCCTGGGGCCGCTCAAATTCCCAACCCGGCGGATCCTGAGCTGGGGGCACCACGGGGGGGTCCCCTGCGTGTCCCCCCCGGTCACAGCCGTGTCCCCTTCAGTGCCTGCGGGGCCGCAAGGCCACCCTGGAGGAGCTGCAGTGCGTCCACAGCGAGCGCCACGTCCTCCTCTACGGCACCAACCCCCTCAACCGCCTCAAACTGGACAATGGGAAGCTGGCAGGTGGGTCCTGGGGGGCTCCAGCAGCTCCCCTGGAGCTGGCCCCCTCCCCAGTTTTCCCAGCCCTGAGGTCCTCCCTGTCCCCTCTCTCCACAGGGATCTTGTCCCAGAGGACGTTTGTGATGCTGCCCTGCGGAGGGGTGGGGGTGAGTGCTCCCGGGATTTGGGGGGTGTGGGGTCACTGCTCCATCCCTGTCCTGGATTTGGGGGTGTGGGGTCACTGCTCCATCCCTGTCCCAGGATTTGGGGTCACTGCTCCATCCCTGTCCCAGGATTTGGGGTCACTGCTCCATCCCTGTCCCAGGATTTGGGGTCACTGCTCCATCCCTGTCCTGGATTTTGGGTCACTGCTCCATCCCTGTCCTGGATTTTGGGTCACTGCTCCATCCCTGTCCTGGATTTTGGGCTGCTCCTTTTTGGCCCCTCAGGGCAGCTCCCGAAGCCCCTGGGCTGCCCAGCTGGGGCTGTTTGATGGAGGTGTTGGACCAGAGCTGCTCCCGGTCCTTGGGAAGGTCTGAACATCCCTCCCTGGAAGGGGATCCTCGATCCAGAGCCCCCCGAGGCGTTCCCAGGGGCACCAGGAGGGAGGGCAGCAGTGACACGGGGACATCAGCTCGTCCCTTCTCTCCAGCCCTTCCCAGTCCTCTCCATTCCCAGCCTTCCCTCCTGGTTTCTCTGCGTTCACTGCGTTCCTTCTCTCTTCCTCTTCCTCTCCCTGTCCCTGTCCTGTCTCTCTTTCAGGAAGGGGCTCCCTCGGTGCCTTCCTGCTGCCTCTTCTGGTTCTGCTCCTCTCCTTGCCCCCCGTGCTGGGCACCAGCTCTGCTTTCCCCGCTCTGCCTCCTTTCCCTGCTCTGTTCCCTCTGGGCTCGGGGAGCTCACACCTGGCCCCGATCAGAAGAGACTTTTTGAGTTTCCCGGCTCTTGAGGCGGTGCTGATCAAACCAAGATGTTTGGTTAAACACTAAAAATAAGATAAAGAAGGTAAAAGAGAGGGGGAGCTGGGCAGGAGGAGGATGTGGGGTGGCCCGAGGTCACCTTGGGCTGGCACAGGACACCACGTGGCTGCCGTGACCGAGATGTCCCCTGCTGCTGTGGGACCCCCTGACCGATGTCCCCCCTCCAGGTGGACAGTGACACCATCTGGAACGAGCTGCACTCATCCAACGCTGCCCGCTGGGCCGCCGGCAGCGTCACCGAGCTGGCCTTCAAGGTGGCCACCAGGGAGCTGAAGGTAGCTGGTGGCCTTGGGGGGGCCCAGGGTGGCGTCACCCCATTTCTGGGAGTCCCAGGGTGGTGTCACCCCATGTCTGGGGGTCCCAGGGTGGTGTCACCCCATTTCTGGGGGTCCCAGGGTAATGTCACCCCATTTCTGGGGGTCCCAGGGTGGTGTCACCCCATTTCTGGGGGTCCCAGGGTGTGACTCTGGGGACATGGGGTGTGTGTGACCCTGGGGGTGGCAGCTCTGACCCCCGGCCTCTGCTCTGTCCCCAGAACGGTTTTGCCGTGGTGCGGCCGCCCGGACACCACGCGGACCCTTCCACGGCCATGTAAGCCCCCTCCCCAAAAAGCGGCTCCAGGAGCAGCTCCGTGGCTCCAAACCACCCCCAGATAAATCCCCTGGGATCCACCCGGGGGTGATTCCATCAGGAAAGGCCCCAGAGGTGACTCCCACCCCTTTCCCAGGGGATTCTGCTTCTTTAACTCCGTGGCCATCGCAGCCCGGCAGCTGCAGCAGAAGGGGAAGCTCAGCAAGATCCTCATCGTGGACTGGGTGAGTCCCCCCGGCCCCCAGCACATCCCCAGGGGCGATTCCTGCTCCAGCTCCCGTGGGAACGTGCCTGGAACCCCCTGGTGTTGTCAGGATGGACGAGTGGGAGCAGCTCCTGGGCTGGGGGACCCAGACCCGGCTGCTTTGGGCTCCCTGAGGTTCTGGGGCCACCCCACAGCTGCCAGAATCCTCTCCCAATTCCCTCCCTGCAGGACGTTCACCACGGCAACGGGACCCAGCAGATTTTCTACAGGGACCCCGAGGTTCTCTACATCTCCCTGCACCGCCACGACGACGGGAATTTCTTCCCGGGCAGCGGAGCCGCCGACGAGGTGAGAGGGGACCAAGGGGACAGCGGGACACGGCGGGGCTGAGCGGGGGCAGTGCCCTGGGGGGCTCCTTTCCCACCCCTCACCCTGCGGATCCCAGCAGGATTCCCGGCAGGAAAACTCCACCGGTCCTGACCCCGCTGTGGCACCGGGCAGGGGGGCCAGGACCCCCAAACACCTTCCCATGGCCCAGGACAGGGGGCTGGGACCCCCAAACACCTTCCCATGGCCCAGGACAGGGGGCTGGGACCCCCAGCTGCCTCCCCCAGGCCAGGCAGTGCTGGAGCCCGGCTCTTCCCGACATCCCTGGGGACACATCCCGACATCCCTGGGGACACATCCCGGTCTCACCCTGTCCTTGCTCCCTCCCAGGTGGGCGCTGGCCCCGGCGAGGGCTTCAATGTCAACGTGGCCTGGGCTGGGGGGCTCGACCCCCCCATGGGGGACCCCGAGTACCTGGCTGCCTTCAGGTACCGTCCCCACGTCCCTGCCCCTGTCCTGTGCTCTGGGGGGTGACCCCTCTCCTCACCCCCTTTTCCCTGTTTGGGGCTGACCCCTCTCCCCACCCCGTTTTCCCCTCAGGACCGTGGTGATGCCAATTGCCCAGGAGTTCTGCCCCGATGTGGTGCTGGTCTCAGCCGGCTTCGACGCGGCCGAGGGCCACCCACCCCCCCTGGGTGGCTACAAAGTCTCTGCCAAGTGTAAGGAGGTGGCCGGGGCAGGGGGTCCCTCCCTTGGGGACCAGGCTGGGACCCCCAGGGAGGGGTGGCCACTCCTGGGGGAGCCCCTGGAGGTTTTGGGGTTGGATTTGGGCAGGAGGAGGTGACGTTCCTGGTGTTGTCCCGCAGGTTTTGGCTACATGACCAAGCAGCTGATGAGCCTGGCCGGGGGGGCCGTGGTGCTGGCGCTGGAGGGGGGCCACGACCTCACGGCCATTTGTGACGCGTCCGAGGCCTGCGTGTCCGCCCTGCTGGGCCACGAGGTGAGAGCCAGGCCTGGACTGGCACTGACCCCCGGTGCCACCACCCCAGCCTGGGCACGGCCCCCTGTGACCCCCCCAGTGACCCCCTGTGACCCCCCCAGTGTCCCCCAATGCCACCAATCCAGCCCAGACATAGTCCCCTGTGTCCCCCCCGTGTCCCCTGGTGCCACCACCCCTGTGTCCCCCCCGTGTCCCCCGCAGCCGGAGCCGCTCCCGGAGGAGAGCGTGAGGCAGAAGCCCAACGCCAACGCCGTGCGCTCCCTGGAAGCCGTGATCCAGGTGCAGAGTGAGTGACTGGGAACGGGGCCTGGGGCACCTGAAAGGTCCTCACCGGGCAACAAAGATCCCGGGGAGGGTCCCCATCATCCTCCTCCTCCTCTTCCTCACGGGAGGGGGGTGCCTCAAGTGTGCGTTCACTGCAAGGGAGCCCAGAAACCTGGGCCACCCCTGTCCTGGGTTACCTCTGTCCTGGGCCACCCCTGTCCTGGGTTACCTCTGTCCTGGGCCACCCCTGTCCTGGGTCACCCCTGTCCTGGGCCACCTCTGTCCTGGGTCACCCCTGTCCTGGGCCACCTCTGTCCTGGGTCACCTCTGTCCTGGGTCACCCCTGTCCTGGGCCACCTCTGTCCTGGGCCACCTCTGTCCTGGGCCACCTCTGTCCTGGGCCACCCCTGTCCTGGGTTACCTCTGTCCTGGGTCACCTCTGTCCTGGGTCACCTCTGTCCTGGGTCACCCTTCTTGTCCTGGGCCACCTCTGTCCTGGGCCACCCCTGTCCTGGGCCATCCCTGTCCTGGGCCACCTCTGTCCTGGGTCACCTCTGTCCTGGGTCACCCTTCTTGTCCTGGGCCACCTCTGTCCTGGGTCACCCCGTCCCGGTGTCCCGCAGCCCCTCTGTCCCCTCCCGCAGGTAAATACTGGGTGGCCGTGCAGCGCTTCGCCTCCAAGCTGGGCTGCTCCTTCCTCGAGGCTCAGCACCACGAGGCCGACGAGGTGGAGACGGTCACGGCCCTGGCGTCGCTCTCGGTGGCCGTGATGGTGGAGAAGAGGTGACATTCCCGGGGGGTGGCAGCGGGGCAGGGCCGTGTCCCCACACCCCGAGAGAGGTCCTGGGACCTGCGGGGGCTCTTCCCGAATGGAAACCGGAGCAAATCCTCCTGCCTGGGGGGTGTCCGCTGCTGTCCCCTCCCTCCTGTCGCTGTCACCGCGAGGTCTCCTCAGTGTCCCGTTCCCCCCGCAGGGCGCAGGAGGAGCCGATGGAGCAGGAGGAGCCCATGAACCAGTGACAGCCCCGCCGGGATCCCGGCTCCCGTTTGTCCCCCTGGACTCCTGGAAGGGACATTCCCGCATCCAGAGGGACGGGACCGAGCCCGCAGCCTCCCCCCCCAACCCCTCCCCGATTTCGGGACCCCTCGTGAAGGGGGTGAAGCCCCCCCAGCGCTGCGGGACAGACCCCCCGGTCCCGGGAAGGGCCGGACATTGGGATGGACGCTCGGATCATCCCGGGGGCGGCTCCCAGAGCCCCCCCCCGTGCCTGGGAGGAGAATCCCGGGGTTCTCTCGGCGGGGACGGGACCTCCACGAGCTCTCCAAGGGTTCCCTGGCTCCCCTCGCCCGGCTGGGACACAGGGACAGAGCGGCAGTGACGCGGCCGGGAGCTCGCTGGGCACGGGGGGGCTCGGAGCAGCCCGGGGAAAGCTCGGAGCATCCTGAAAAAAAGCTTGGAGCATCCCGAGGAGGGTTTGGAGCATCCCGAGGAGGGTTTGGAGCATCCCGAGGAAGGTTTGGAGCATCCCGAGGAAGGTTTGGAGCATCCCGAGGAGGGTTCGGAGCATTCCCGGCGAGGCCGGAGCTCGGGCCGTGCCCCGGGGCACCCCGCGAGCACCGAGCGCTGCCCCCGGCTCTGATTTGCACTACGGACCCCGAGGGCGCTGATGCGAACCCGGCTCCTCTTCCCGGGGCAATTCCCGCTGGAATTCCGGGACCGATCCGCTCCGGCCGCGCCCCCTGAGCCCCCTCCCCGGCCCGGGGATGCCCAAAGCCCCTCGGTCCCGCCCCTGAGCCTCCGAGGGCTCCAAAATCCATCCCGATTTGCCTTTTCCCGTTCCCCAGAGCTTTTCCCGAGGGTTTTCCACACGAGGATCGGGCTCTGAGCCGGGGAGGGGGTTTGGGGACAGAGGGGACACAGCCCTGGCTGAGCTGGGGGGGTGGGGGCAGCTCCGGCTGCGGGAGGAGATTTTGTAAAAAAAAAATACCAAAAAAAACCCCAAAAAAACCCAAAAACAAAAAGGAAACAAAAAGAAAGGAGAAATTTAAAAAGCAAAAAAAAAGCCTCTGGAGGAATCAAAACCCTTCGTGTGGCCCAGGGTGGGGGTCCCAGGGAGGGATGGATCCATCCTGCTGGATTTTACCAGGAATTTGCCATTCACGGATTTTTTTGGGACTTTTCCTCCCAAAAAAGGGGATCAGGAGGATCATTAGGATGACTTTGTTCATTTAAAGGGTTTTTTTCTCATTTTAAGGGTTTTTTTTTTCTCATTTTAAGGTATTTTTTTTCTCATTTAAAAATGCAGGTTTGTTTTTTTTTTTTTCATAAAACAAGATGCACCAAAATACTTGAAAATATTTTTTTTTTAAATATATTTCACCTTTTTTAAAAAAAAAATAATAATAATAATTGGTTGGAAGCCGGAGTCTCACTCCTCAGGTTTTTCCCCTTTATTGTTCAAGCACAATTTATTATTTTTTGAATGAAGATTTTAAACTTCTGAAACCGATTTTGTTTCTCCTTCCCATGAGGCACCGAACGAAGGAACCACAGCCCCGTTTTTAAGGGAGTTTTGAAATTTTTTTAAGCATCCCCAGATTTTTTTTTGAAGGCTGCAATCCACTCCCCGGAGCAGGGAATCCACTCCCACTGCCCGGAAAAATTGGGAATTGGGTAGAAAAGGTCGCTCTGGGCTTTCCTGTGGCTCCTCTGTGGATTCTCCGGTGTTCCCCAAATCTGATCACAACTGAACTCCTCTCCCGTGGAATATTTGGGGGTTCGGGCCTCCCTGGAAAGGATTTTCCCCCTTTTTTTGTGCCATAACAGGCAAAAAACTCTGATTTTGTTTTGCCTGATTGCAATAAAAGCGGCTCAGCCGAGGGGAGCCGGCAGCTTCCGTAGGAAACACGAGGATTGAACCTTGGAAAATTCCCCCTGGGCTTTATTGGGGTGGTTTTGGGCACCTCCATCGTCCTTTCTGTGCCCCCAAAAAGAGCCCAAATCCCCCCAGAGTTCCCAAAACGGCCCCAAAAATCCCCCATTCCCGCCGGCTCCGTCTCCAGCCTGGAGTGCCGATAAATTCCAAGGATTCGGGTGGTTCCAGCAGGGAGTTTTTGAGGTCAATCCGTGGGGGTCAGCAGCCCCCAAATCCCACCCTGTGCTCATCCATGGGAATCCGTGGGAAGGTCCCGGCAGAGCCTTCGGAGCGGGATAAAAGCGCAGGGGGGCTCCAGCCCTTCCCCTTCCCCTCATTCCAGAGGAATTGTCCTGCCCGCTCCAGGAGGCTCCAGGAATCTGGGATCATTCCTTACCTGCGAGCCCACAATAAATCACAGCCCCGAGTTCCTCCGGCAGCATCCGAAGAGACTCAAACCAGCTCCTGCTGCTCCCTCGGGCTCATTCCTAAAGTTTTTGGGATCCCCGGGGCTGCCGGGGGTTTGGGGATCGTTCCCTCCTCTCTCCAGGGTGGTTCCTGTGGGATTTTGGGTGTTGGAGCTGCTTCCATCGAGGCAGAGACCTGGGGGGACACAGCGGGGTCAGCTTGGGCTCGGCTTCCCGAAATCCTGCAAATCCTGGGAGCCAGCGGGGGCAGAGCCGCTCCCTCCGCAGCTTCGCATTCCCAAATTTCCCCAGAGCCATGAGGGATGTGCCGGGAAACGTCCCCACGGCTGAGCCCGGGAATGAAAAGCACCAAAATCCCGGTTTTTCACACAGAACTGGTCTGTGCGACCCCCTGGGAGCGCTCCCGGAGCCAGGGATGGTGGATGGAGCAGGGAATCGGGAACGGCTCCGGTTCCTGGGGCACGAGGGGATGGATCCCCGCGGGATCCCGGCGCCCTCAGAGCTTATTCCAGCTTTATTCCATCCCCTCCCGCTTTGTTTCCTCCTCACCGAGACCTTTCCCTCTCTGGAGAGGAGCCTGGGGAGGGATAAATCAAATCCTCCAGGAATTCAGCCCCGGGAAGGGCTGAGGTAATGCCAGGGAATGGAGAACGGAGATTAAAATCCCCCAAAGGCTGCTGTGTCCCCTGGCTGAGCCCTTGGGATGGGGAACGGGCACATCCAGGGGCTCGAGGACAACAGGCAGCCAAAATTCCGGAGTCACGGCCAGGCGGGATCATCTCAACCCATCCCTTGGAAAAATGGATCAGCTTCCTGATCCCAGCGAGGTCTGATCCCAAAAAACCCTCACCAGGCGATTCCAGGGCTGCGGGAGCCTCCGGACCCTGCGGGATTTGGGATGGAGAAGCTCCCGGAGCTCCCCAAGCCCCCCCTCGCCCTTCGGCATCCTCGCCTTTGTCCACCCCGGGAATCAATGCCGGGCGTTCCCCCGCAGCTCCCGGGATGAAAAACCGGCTCCAGAGGAATTCCCAAGGCCGAGGCAGCTCCAGCGAGCTCCGGTTCCTTGCAGGGGCCATAAACCCGGAGATATTTCCACATTCCCGAGGGCGGGATCCGTGGTTTTATGTCTGGATTAATTTTAACTAATCCCGAGCAGTGCGGGGACCCCGCCGTGGGGAGCAGCTCGGTCCCCCTGGGTGGTTTTTTTCCCCCATTTTTAATGAAAATGTGGAGGGTTTTTTGCCAGAAAAATGAATCCAGCAGCTCTGGTGGCTCCTGTGACAATTCCCTGCGAGCAGCCCGGGATTTCAGGGAATGTCCCACATCCCTCACCGGGGCGGCTCCTCCAACATCTCCCCTTCCATCCCGAGTGAAAACAGCAGCAGATTTTGGGGAACTCTCTGGCCTCCAAACCTACTCAGTTCCAGGAGAAAATCCCAATCAGGGAGAAGCAGATTTCCCGGGATTTCGGCAGCTCCTCACCTCTCCTGAGACCCCAGCCCCAAACCGAGGGTCCCGAACCACCCTGGGCGGTTTCACCAGGGGCTGGATCCACTTTTAAGGGATTGATTTGGGGTGGGAAGGGATCCCTGCTTTCCTGCCGGGCTGCAGAAGGATCTGGGAGCTTTTAAAGCAGCTTGAGATGGATTTCCCGAGCAGGGAAATGAATAAGGAATAGGGAATAGGGATGGGAGCTGTTCCCGAGCTCCCCCAGTGCCCCGGAGCAGCGAGAGGTGTTTATAAATAAAAGCAAATGAAGCAGCCGCCAGACAAAGCCGATTCCAGGCGAGAGCAACAGTCCCCAAAGGGAAGATTTATCCAAGGTCTTTCAGGAGAGACAATTAAGAGAGGGCAACGCGAGAGAGGCGATAAATCCAGGAGAGGCGATAAATCCAGGGAGACAAATGAAGGGCGAGGAACATCGGCCTCTCCCCCCGGCAGTTCCAGCTTCCAGCCTCATTTTCTCCTCCAGCAGGGAAAGAAACCATTTTAATGCACTCAAGACTCTGCCGAGAAAAGCTGGGGGGGGACTTCAAACGTGATTTCTGTTGCCTGAGGGCTCCATCCCTCTTTCCCCGGCTGATGTCTCCTGGTTAACAAGGGCACATCCAGCTATTCCAGCCCCCTTTGATATTTAATCGGCCGAGTTCCACTATCCAGGGGCTGCTTTCCATTAGGAAATCCCAGCCCCGTTGCGAGCGCCGGGTTCGTTCCCTCCTGGGAGGGAGAAGGAGCTTTCCCCAGCCCGGCACCGCTTCCCTGGCGGCTCTTCCCTGATTTTGGGGTTTTTCCGGGAGATTTCCCCGTCCCTCTCCATCCCTGCCCTGCTGGGATTGTTCTCCGGGACCCAAAACCGCTGCAGGGTGACCCGGGGTGGGTGATTCCCTCCCCAGCTGGATCGGGATCGATTTTAACGGGAATGATGATCCCGCTGCGCTCACGGGAGCTCTCCAAAGCGACTGGAGGGGTTTTAATCCCTCCGTTTATCACGGGAGCGCAGCTCCTGCCAAGAACTCGGATTAAATAAACAGCCCTGGCAGTCGGAGCCGCCTCGGGTTCCGCACACAGAGGGAGCAAAAATGGGTCTGGGGGTGCTGGGGAGGGGGCTCAGCCTCCCCCACCTCCCCAGGGCAAAGGGATTTTAGTCAGGCTTTGCAAAATCCGGGATGAAGCCGCGCCTGTCTTTGGGGAGCGCCCCCACAACACCCCCAAAACTGGAGAATCCAACCCCGAACTGTCAAACCCAAAAGGGGGTGCCCAGAAGAGGGTGAGGGGTCCGGGGGGGCACGGGCAGTTCAGCATCCCGACTGGTCCTGTAGGATTTTGGGCATCCCAAAGTGGGGACAAGGAGCCATTCGCTCCTCCTCTGGCCGGCCCCGAGGGGAGGTGACCCCGGTGTCACCCAAGGAAGGGCAGCTCCCGGCGAGGACAGGATTTATTATCTGAAACAGGGTCTGCCCCCAAAATTGATATCTCCACATGAATTTAGCGAAGTGTCAGATTTCCTGCTGGTTGGGAGGGATCTGGCTGGGAAAGGGAGTTGCAAAGCGGCTCATCCTTAAACGAAATCCCCTGGGAGATGCTCCTGAGCCAGAGCTGGCACCTCCACGACCCCGAATTTGGGGATGTTCGGTGCCCGAGGAGAGCCAGGAGGAGCCCTGGGGCCTCTCGGGAGCCGGGTTCCCTTGAGGTGTCCCCGGAGTTCCTGGCTTGGGAACGTCCTCTGGAACTTTCTGCTCCTGCTCTGCGGGAAGTGCCGGCGCCTCGTCAACCCCACTCCTCCCGTTCCCGATTCCTCCCGGCCCTAAAGCTCTGAAAATTGGATTATTCCCCTCTCGGCATCCCGAGGGACGCTCAGGTGGTGCTGGATGGAGCTGAGCCCATCAGATTTCCCCACGCAGCGCAGAATTCCCGCGGATCCCTCGGGATCACGGATCCCACCGTGCTGCAGAGCTCTGCCAGAGGAACAGGGGAAGCCAGGGCTGGAGGACACGCGGCCACCCCAGGACAGGGCGGGTTTGACACCTCGGCAGCTCCAGCAAGGCCAGGACGGGCTTTGGGAATAAATCAGATTTCTGGGAATAAATTAGATTTTGGGGAATAAACCAGATTTCTGGGAATAAGTCAGATTTTGGGGAATAAACCAGATTTCTGGGAATAAACCAGATTTTTACAAACCCCTTTTAAACCATCCCCGCCCCTGCCGAGTCAGTCGCTCCAGGACAGCTCGGGAACCGCCACCTCCTCCCGCAGGGATGACAAATCCCTCATCCCTGGAGGGCCAGGAGGGGCGGGATGGAGCCGGGACGCGGCGGTGACAGGGAGGTGACAGGGAGGTGACACGGAGGACGTGACACAGCCACACGTACCCAGCTCAGTGAGACGCCGACATGGACCAGGCGCCCTCCATCCTCCACACGGAGAAGGCGTAGCTGAGCCTCTCGTGGGCCAGGAAGTTGCAGCTGGTGGCGACCTTGTGGTCCAGCTCGTCGCTCTGCAGCACCTGGCACAGGAAATCGATGTAGCGAGCGGCCAACTTCAGCGTCTGGATCTTGCTCAGCTTGTCCGAGGGCAGCGTGGGGATGATTTTGCGCAGCTCGGCGAAGGCGTCGTTGAGGGACTGGGTGCGCTGGCGCTCCCGCACGTTGGCGATCACTCGCTGGGCGTGGGCATCCTCGGGGGGCTGCGGGGCCGGGCTGCGCCGGCTGCGCTTGCCCTGCGGCGAGGGGGCTCCTCCGGGGCCCTGCCCGCGCTTGCGGCCGCTTTTCCTGGGCAGCCTCTCGGCTTCGTCCTCGCTGGTGGCCGCGCTGCCCTCGGGGGACTCCGGGGAGAGGTTTTCCTCCTTCATCTCCTCGGCCGGCCGGGTTGCGGAGGAGCCGCCGGTGGCTCCCGGGGCGCGGCCCGGAGCATTCGCCCTCGGGGCTGCCCGGGCGCCCCAAGCCCCGCGGAGCTCTCCAAGGAGCTCCTTGGCTTTTTCCTTTGGGCCAGGAGAGGAGGGCGCCGGGATGACTTCGGGAACGGCTCCTGCTGATAGGGCGAGCGGGGCGGGGGCGGACCAGGCGCAGACCAATGCAGGGGAACGCCAGCGGCTCTGGAGCTTATGGGTTCCAGATTTCCTCTCTCCCTCCCCACCGCCACCCCGAGCCCTCCGGCACAGATGCTCCGGCTGCCGCCCGGATGTCGGGGGACGTTGCCGGTGCCAAGGGAGCCCCGGCCGCGGAGCTCGGGGTTGGCTTTGGGGGGTTCTGGGTCTTTTTAAATAATTATTCTTCAAGGTGGTTGACCCCCATGAAGAAATCTCCAGCCGTGTTTGGGGGGGAAGAGGAGACGCTCGGCTGGGAGGGACCCGGGTGGGGATGTGGAGCTCCAGGGGTTACAATGGTTGAGTCAGGAACTCCCAAAATCCAGTGGGAGAAGCAACCAAAGGGAGATGGGCACCCCTAGGGCTCTTGAGGAAAGGCTTCAGTCCAAAGGAGCTTGAGTCCATTTGTCCATCTGCCAGGCCGTCTGTCCATCCATCCATCCATCCTCCATCCATCCATCCATCCTCCATCCATCCATCCATCCTCCATCCATCCATCCATCCTCCATCCATCCATCCATCCTCCATCCATCCATCCATCCTCCATCCATCCATCCATCCTCCATCCATCCATCCATCCTCCATCCATCCATCCATCCTCCATCCATCCATCCATCCTCCATCCATCCATCCATCCTCCATCCATCCATCCATCCTCCATCCATCCATCCATCCTCCATCCATCCATCCATCCTCCATCCATCCATCCATCCTCCATCCATCCATCCATCCTCCATCCATCCATCCATCCTCCATCCATCCATCCATCCTCCATCCATCCATCCATCCTCCATCCATCCATCCATCCTCCATCCATCCATCCATCCTCCATCCATCCATCCATCCTCCATCCATCCATCCATCCTCCATCCATCCATCCATCCTCCATCCATCCATCCATCCTCCATCCATCCATCCATCCTCCATCCATCCATCCATCCTCCATCCATCCATCCATCCTCCATCCATCCATCCATCCTCCATCCATCCATCCATCCTCCATCCATCCATCCATCCTCCATCCATCCATCCATCCTCCATCCATCCATCCATCCTCCATCCATCCATCCATCCTCCATCCATCCATCCATCCTCCATCCATCCATCCATCCATCATCCATCCATCCATCCATCCATCCAATCCACGGATTCATCTCTCCATGGATCCATCCATCCCTCCATGGATCCATGGATCCATCCATCCATCTGTCCATCCGTCCGTCCGTCCATCCCTGTCTCCGTTCCCGGCATCCCACAACGCCCCCATCACCCTCGCCCATCACCCAATTCCTGTCAAGCAAATCCAGCAGCTCCTGGGTGGAAGGGGAAGGGGAAAAGGAATCGGAGAAGGAAGAGGAACAGGACGAAGAAGGGGAAGAGCAGGAGCTCTGTTCTCTCTGGGGCTGAGAATCCCCCGGGAGGACGGGATCGGGGCCGGATCCGGATCCCTCGGCTCCAGCAGCGCTGCCGAGGGCTGGGGAGCTGCCACCAGCTCCGGCTCGGGCTGTGCCTGGCCTTTATTCCTTAATTAAATCTTTTATTTTATTTTTTACTGTTTTCCTTTTGAAAGAAAATAAAATTGAACTGAATTTCGCCAGGAGAAGGGTTTGGGATCGGGGCTGGGATCCCGGAGCAAAGGGAGGAACACAATGAGCTTTGAAGTGCAGGAAGGAGCAGCCCCACACCCCAAGGGGATTTTTTTTTTTTTCCCCCTACATTTGGAGGGTTTGTGGTTTTTTTCCCTCAAATATTTCAATTTGTTCTTTCAGTGAGTGTTTTTTTCGGGAGGATGTTCATCCAAACTTCTCATGGAAAGGTCACGAGGCACCAGAGTGGTTTCAATAACTCCTCCAGCTCCGCTGGGGGTTTTATTTCTGGTGCTGCTTTTGACACATCGGGGAAAATTTCAAGTCTTGAAGAAAATAAACAACTCAGCCAAGCCCGGCTCGCTCGACTGAGGGAGAAGTCAGTGGATGGGAGATTTGAATTCCCGATTCCCACCAATTCCTGGCTCCTCTGGACACGTCCCCTCACCTCCATCACCCCCCAGGAGGATTTTGGGGGGTTTTTGGGGGAATCTCCTCCCAGGGGACAATCCTTGAGTTCACCAAAGTTTTAAATTGGATATTGGGAAAATTCCTCCTGGGAAAGGGTGGAGTGCCCATCCCTGGGGGCATTTAAAAGTGGAGGTGGCACTTGGGGACATGGCCAGGGGTGGCCTTGGCAGTGCTGGGGGGGCTTTTGGTGCCCTCAGAGGGTTTTGTTTCATTCTGCTTTGTTTTGGGATTTATTTTCCCCTCCCCAACCTCCTTTCCTTTGTTCTGGAAGACAAAAATAATCCCCGTTTCATCTCGAGTGAGGAAAAAAAGAACACAAAACCAAAAAAAAAATCGTTAAAAAATGAGAATAACGCTGATAAATGAGGAACATGAAAGGGAACCGGGAATAACCGCTGCCCCTGGAGGCCGGGAAGCGCCTTGGGACCCGCAGGTTTTTCCAGTTACAGCGGCCTCGAGTGGAAACAGCTGCGGGGAGCCCGAAAATCGCGGAGCATCCGCGCCGCGTGAGGTTTCCGCGGCAACCGCGGGGAATTTGGGGCTGGGGGATCGGGCTGGGAAGGGGAACCCGCGGGATGCTTTGATGCCGGGCTGATGGATGGCCATGAGATCCTTTTTCCACCCGGCCCGGTGACCTCACGCTCCTGGAACGCGCTGGGATCTGTCAGAACGCGGAGATGGAGGCGAAAATGCGCTGCCTGCTGGGGTCTGGGGGTTCCTGGGGGTTCCTGGGGGTTCCTGGGGGTCTCAAGGGGTCCCAGGGGGTCCCTGGGGGCTCCTGGGGGTCTCTGGGGGTCCCTGGGGGTTCCTGGGGGTCTCTGGGGGTTTCTGGGGGTCCCTGGGCGTCCCTGGGGGTTCCTGGGTGTCTCTGGGGGTTCCTGAGGGCTCCTGGGGGTCCCTGGGGGTCCCTGGGTGTCCCTGGGGGTTCCTGGGGGTGATCCTGGATCTTTCCCGAGGGATTGGGGTCCCCCACGGGTCCCACCGCCCCCCCAGGGCTGGCCCCATCCTGTTCCACTTAATTCCGACACGTGGAAGTTTCTTCCCCCCTTTTCTCCCCCATCTGCTCCCATCTGGCCATGAAAGCGCCGGGATTGGGGTCCAAGATCTGCCCCGAGCTCTCCCAGCACAGAGTTGGGAATGTTGGGAATGTTGGGAATGTTGGGAATGTTGGGAATGTTGGGAATGTTGGGATCAGCCCCTCCGAGCTCCCAGAGCCGCCCTTGGATGGGCACAGGATCCCTCAGGATCCTGCTGGGGATGAAAGGAGCTTTTCCCATCTCCTGCAGGTCTCTCCTCCGAAGGGTTCTCCTGCTTTGGCACCCCGGGAAGGGACGGGAGGTGACAAAAAAAGGGTTCCCGGGAAACGGGAGCAAGGGGACTTTGCAGGCCAGGAGAGGAACCGGAGGAGGAGGAAGCAGGAGGAAGCGGGAGCTGCTGTCCTGCACCTCGGGAGCGAATCCAAAGCCCTGGGAGTGTCCAAGGCCGGGCTCAGATCTTCCAGCATCCAATTCCTGGGCACCTCTGACCCCAGTTCCCGGCATCCAGAAATCTCCTCATCCACCTTTTCCCTCTGAGAGCATCCATGCCTTTTGTCTCCCCATTCTCTCCTGCACAGAATTCTGAAATCCCAATAAAAATCCCAATAAAAATCCCAATAAAAATCCCAATAAAAATCCCAATAAAAATCCCAACCAAGCCAGAAAATTCCATTTTTTGGGGTCTTTTTTTTCCCCTCCCTCCCCCGGTGCACTGAACCTGGTTGTTTGCTTTAAAAGGAATTGGATTTGGGAAAATCCACGGAGCAGATGCAGCCGGAAAAATCCATCCCAAAAAAATCCATCCTGACCTCTGCCTGCCCCAGGCTGAGCCACGGGATCCTCTGGTAGAGCATCAGCTCAGGAATTTGTGGGAAAGAGGAGTCCAGGAGTGCCCTTAGCAACCAAACATTTGTGGGGGGATCTGTTCCATCCAGGAGGGAAAAACCCTCTGGAAAAATCCGGGAAAGGAGGTTTTGGGAGGACAGGGAGTGAGTTTGTCCCAGTTTTTCCCCATGGAACAGATCCTGGATGTTGCTCCCTCGTGCTCCTGCTCACGGAGCAGGGAATTTGGGGAGGGACTAAAAATGGGAACAAAATTTGGGTTTGGTGTTGGTTTTTTTTTTTATCCTGGGGGCAACCAGAGCTGGGTCCCATCCAGGGGATCCCAGTTTTCCTTGGGATGTTATCCATGTGCTGCAGAGCCTGGGAGCGGGATGGGATGGAAGGGAGGGAGGGATGGATGGATGGATGGATTCATGGATGGATGGATTAATGGATGGATTCATGGATGGATTCATGGATGATGGACGGATGGAACCACATCCCAGGGAACACTGAGCTATTTTTGTGGGAGCATCCCTGGGATCCCTCAGAGCTGACTCAGGTTCCTCCCTCCCTGCTGGGCCAAACTGGAGCCCAAAGGGAGCTCGGGAAAGCTCCTGGAGCTGCAAACCACGCCCAGAGCCACCACCCATGGGTGTCCCCAAACCTGGCTGTCCCCAAACCTGGCTGTCCCCAAAACCTGGCTGTCCCCAAACCTGGCTGTCCCCAAACCTGGCTGTCCCCAAAACCTGGGTGTCCCCAAACCTGGGTATCCCCAAACCTGGCTGTCCCCAAAACCTGGGTGTCCCCGAGGCCTGGGTGTCCCCAAAGCCTGGGTGTCCCCAAAGCCTGGGTGTCCCCAAACCTGGCTGTCCCCAAAACCTGGGTGTCCCCAAACCTGGGTGTCCCCAGCCCCTCACCCAGGGTGGGGGTACCTGTCAGGAGCCCCTCAGCTGCCCCCCAGGGAAGGACCCCCTTCTCACAGAGCTGCCCCCAGCCCCACAGCACATCTGGGACACCCCCGGAGCCTTCAAAGCCGCGCCTGGGGAGAGACGAAAGGCCCGGCTCAACTCCTGGCCGGAGATGAAAGGAAAACTCTCCCTCGGCGGCTGGAACGAGTTCCCGGAGCTGCGGAGCATTTCCTGAGCCGCCTTTCCAGAGGGACAGAGAGCAGATTCCCGGGGCTCCGGGCTCCCCGAGGATGCTCCGTGGGCTGGGAGGGATGAGGATGAGGATGAGGATGAGGATGAGGATGAGGATGAGGATGAGGATGAGGATGAGGATGAGGAGCAGTGGGATGGGGAAGGAAAAGCTCCTTGAGGATGAGCCCGGGGCGGGGGAGCGGCTGCCGGGCGGATGCGAGCGACACATTTTCCTCATTTTGTCCCAGGAAATTCTATTCCGATTAAAAGGCGTTTGATCTCCACGGAGCGGGCGGGGGGAGAGGCCGGGGTGGGGTTGGGTTTCCCTCCAATTGTTGGGTTTTATGTGGGTCAGGAATGGGCTCAAAGCTCCCAGGATTTTTGGGGCTGCAGAATGTGCAGTTGGGATTTTTGGGGTTTATGAAAAGGTGAAGGAGGAAGGGATGGAGCCAAGAGCAGCCCGGGGCTCCTCCTCTCCCGGTTTTCCAAAGGGTTGATCCCTCTCCGTCAGGGAAGGGGAATCCTCCAGCTCCTCATCTCCTCCAGCACCAGGAATAAAAGGGTTTTTCCGGGACCACGGGGGTCTCGTGGAATTTGGGATCTCCTGAGGGCTGGAGGGGATGAATTTGGTCGGGATTTATTTGCCTAAAAAAGGGGTAAAAACCTCTTAAAAGTGAGGCAGAGGCACCACGAGGGACAGGCAGGAGGAGGGTGGGGGGCTGCTGCTTCCCCCTGGTTGTTATTCCAGCCTTTCCAGCCCCTTCCCCACGTCCTTCTCTCCCATTCCCAGCTGAGGAGGAAGGGAAGCAATGGGAATGTGGTGGGAAGGAGCAGAGGAAGGGTGGGGACCCCCCAGTGACCCCTCAGCCGAGCTGTGCTTGGCCCCTTCGGGCTCTCCACAAACCCCATCCCGAAGGCTCTTCCCAGATATCCCAGCCTGGGGATTTTCAGCCTCCTCGTTAAGCACTGGGCCCATATTGAAATGTTTTATTCCCTTGGTTGCTCTCCAAGCTGAGAATTGTCCTAAAAATAACCATTCCCAGTTCTGCGTGTGATGTTCTCCCCCCTCTCCCAGCCCCTGGCTCCGTCCCAGCTCCCCCAGCTCCGGTGAGTTCATCCCGACACCACAACTGCTCCGTTGGGGATCTTTAAATCCCAGAGCTGTTTCTCACCCAAAGCCCTGGCTGGAGCACGAGGATTCCCTCGGGAATGGCAGCAGGACTGGGCTCGTGTCCGTGTGTCCGGCGCCCTCCCAGCTGGACACGGCCCCCGGGAGCCAGGCCACCCCAAGCTCTTCCTCGAGGACTCTTCCTCACCCCTCTCCCTCCCTTCCAGACCCTCAGGATGCCGAGAGTGAGCTGGGATTTGGGGAATTTTCTGCTTTTTCCCAGACAGGGAACAAAGGACAGATCCAGGCTGAGCCAGCAGCGTGTCCAGGGAGCAGGGACAGCATGTGTGGTGACATCCCCGTGTCCTGGAAGGGACACGCTCCTTGTCCATGGCTGTGGCACTTCCCTAGCCCCCACTCCCAGGAGAAGGATTCCATGGGGAACTGGGAGCTGTGACCCTGCTGGGGACATCCAGCCAGGATCTGTGTCCCTGTCAGGGACATCCAGCCAGGATCTGTGTCCCTGTCAGGGAGATCCAGCCAGGATTTGTGTCCCTGTAAGGGACATCCAGCCAGGATCTGTGTCCCTGTCAGGGACATCCAGCCAGGATCTGTGTCCCTGTCAGGGACATCCAGCCAGGATCTGTGTCCCTGCTGGGGACATCCAGCCAGGATCTGTGTCCCTGTAAGGGACATCCAGCCAGGATTTGTGTCCCTGCACATGAGGACAGTGTCCCCAGCACCTCCTTCCCCCCACCCAAAGCCACCTGGAGGGGTCCCCAGCCCTACCAGGCTCATCCGGAGCCTTTGAGGCGCCGCTTCCGCCCTCGCCACATCTTGAGAGCAGATTGGGAAAATGTGAAAAATCTGTGGTTTTCCTTCGGGTGCCTTTGAATCCCTCCAAGGGCAGGAAAAGTGGGATCGAGGCCACTGCTGGACCCTCAGGAAGTGCTGAGACCCCCCCTCAGTGGGTCCCAGAGCCACGGGGGCCCTCCAGGGGCCTAAATAACCCCCAAAACCCATCAGAGGCTCCCCAGTTCCTGAAGATTCCCCAGGCTGCCCAGCAGCAGGGAGTAAGGAATGCTGCAAAGGGAAAAACGGGTGATTCCATGAAAAACGGGGCTGGGAAAAGCTGGTGAAGCTGGAGATTGGGACAGGGTGACTGGGACTTTGTGGGGGCTGTGAGGGGTCAGGGTGAGGGGACGGATTGCAGTGTCCTGGGAAGTCTTTGGAGCCACCAGGATCTCTGTCCTGTCCTGTCCCAGTGCCAGGAATTCCAGCTGGGATCTTTCCCTTGGAGCGAGACCTCACCCTTGTAGGGACTCGGCTCGCCCCTGTAGGACGCTGAGCTCCTGCGGTCCCCGGGCACAGGGATGTCCCTGTTTTGGGGGATGTCCCCGGTTTTGGGGTGTTCCAGGTGGGTTTGGGGTCTCGCTCGCGTCCCCCCCCCCAGCCCTGGCTGTGCCACCGCTGCCCTCTGGTGGCTCCTGCGGGCCCTGCAGCCGGCGCTGTCCCCAAAGTGTCCCCAAAGTGTCCCCAAAGTGTCCCCTCCCCTGGACCCCACCCCACGGTCAGGGATTGGGATGGGGCTGGGAATGGGAACTTCACTCAGGGCTGACTCCAAAGCCTCCCTGAAGCCCCTCTGCCCCTCGCTTGCTTCCAGGGAAAAAACCACCACTTCCCCAAAAATCCCTTTGGGCTGAAATCCCCGAATCCCAAGGGATTTGTGAGGGGGGAAAAGCCACCTCAGACTCCTGGTGGATGAGGAAGGGAGGAGTTAAACGATCCCACTCACGACGAAAAGTGCCATTCCCACACATCCTTCTCCCAGCTCCCCAGGGAATTCCAGAGCAGCCAGGCTGGTGAGGGAGGGCTGTATTTGTGGTGGCACAGGGTGACAGCGAGGGTGGCACCCACCCCGGCACCCCCCAGGTGCAAACCAGGGGGAATCCATGTAAAAACAGAGGGAATATTTACACACAGGATCCTTTAAAAAAGCTGGGATGTGCGGTGGGAATTCCAGGTTTAGGGACTCCAGCAGGTCACAGCCTCACCCCAAAGGTGCTCCTCAATCCGTGGGGTCACCTGAGCAGCCCCCATCCCTTCTCCTCTCCTCCTGCTTCCACAAAAATATTTTTTTCCCCAATTTTTTCCTCTCCCTGAGGTTCAGGCAGGTCAGGCCTTGGCCCTGCACCCCTTTCCCCCACACGCCTTTTCCCCACACACCCGCTGCTGCAACTTCAAAGCGTTAAATACGGCATTTATGGTTAAACACGGGATCCCAATCCTTTTAAAAACGAGCCCGGGGAGCAGCATTCCCAACCCCAGGAGCTTTGGGATGAGCTGTGCTCCTCTGCCCCCAGATAAACCCCAAGGACCTGGCTGGGAGCTCCTGGGAGGCTCATCCCAGGGGACAAAGGAGCAGAGAGGTGACACGGGGAGCAGCGCAGCGACAAAAACGGCGACCGCCACCCCCTCCCTTCTCCCCAGAGCGACGAGCGAGGAAAATCCAGCAGGAAAAACCCCCTCTGCGGACAGACAGACAGCCAGGCAGCTCCTGCTCCGTGCCCAGGCCTCTCCTCCCTGCCCCACACCTTTCCCAGGAAGCTCAGAAGTCGCTGAGGATGCTGATGTCGGCGAACTCGGCGCGGTACCGGTGCGAGTAGAGGCTCAGCAGCAGCGCCCACTTCAGCGCCATGAAGCTCCACACACACGACAGGTAATAACTCTTGGGGTCAGTCAGGGCTGCCAGGGAGAAAAAAACAGGGATTTGGTGGGAATTCCAGCCCCTGGGAGCTCTGCACGACCCCTGAGGGAGGTTGTGTTCCCACTGGGATGGGGTGGTTTGCCCAAAGTCGCTCAGGGATTGGATTTGTGGGAATTGCTGGAGGTGGCTCAAGGAAATCATCCCAAGCTGCAGCTCCCTATTCCTCACCCCTCTCTCCATCCTCTTCCAGAACTTCACATCCCAGGGAAAAAGAGGAAAAAACACAATTCCTCCTTCTAGAGATGCTTCCCTTTCCTGCTGGAATCCATATTTAATATTTATTAATATTTACTGATCCCCTGTGCAGGTGGGGCTCAGGGAATGCCAGGAACAGCCTCTTTTGGGACAAATCTGCCAATTTCCTCTTTATTTATCCCAAAACTGCCTCTTCCCAGGGATCCTGTGGAAGCCACAGGGGGCTGGCTCTGCTTTTTGGGGTCACCTCAGTGGTGTCACATTCACTGACAACATCTGGGGGTTGCTTTGTCACCAAATTTGAGGGACACTTCCAGAACCTGGTGGAGAAAACAATCCCAGCTTGAGCTGCCTGGGGGCTGCCAAAAATGAAGAGAATTCATTTGAGGAATGCACAAAACAACATTTTCTTGGTAAATTCCAGTCATTCCACATCTCTAAAATCATTGCCTTCTGCAGGGGTTCTACCTTGCCCCAAATTAAGACTTCCCCTAAAAAAAACCCCAATTTTCTCCCCAGTTTTTCCTCCCATTTCCAAGAAAAGAGGGGATGGCAAATATTTGATTTTCCTTTCGTATCTGTATTTTCCAGGATTTCCCACGTGGTTTTTCATCCCTTTGCACCAGGAAAACTCCACGGGGAGTTTCTTCAGGCTGAGCCAAGCGGTGTTTTTGGGGTTGTGACCCCACACAGCTTCTCCACCACCACCAGGACAACCCCGTGGGGCTTCTCAGCAAACAACAAACACAGAAAACCTCCAAGAAAACAACCCCCAGACGTTCTCCCTTTGGTGTGGGGCCAAGGAAATCGCGGGAGGGATTTGGAGCCCTTCCTTAGGGAATGTTCAGGGGGTTGGAGCTAAGAATGCTGAGTCAGGGCCGAGGTGTGGGCTTGGAGCTGCTCCAGGAGGGATGGATGTGACCATTGTCATGGAAATGAGGAAATTCCCAGGGTTTTTTGGGGGCTTTGTCATGGAAATGAGGCAATTCCAGGTTTTTTTTTGATGCCACAGCAGGGCAGGGAAATGCGGTGACATCCCCTCAGGCTGTCCCCAGAAGAGGAGGTGGCAGGAGCACCCCCAGCCCTGCTGGGTCCCCAAGCTCCCCCCAGCACTCCCAGTCCCTCCCAGTACTCACACTGGTGTTGGGTGATGGCCAGGGCCAGGAAGGCGCAGAAGCCCAGCCCGGAGAGGGCGGAGAAGAGGATCCCGACGGAGAGGAAGAACCTCAGCCCTTTTAACCAGGTCCTCCAGTAATCCTGCAGGTACATCACATGCGTGATTAGGGCCCAGAGCGCCAGCACACCTGTCCAGGTGACAGCAGGGACGTCAGAACAGCACCCATGGACAGGTAAAACACAGCTCAACCCCCCCTGGAACACCTGGGAACAGCAGCACATCTGTCCAGGTGACAGCAGGGACATCAGAACGGCATCCAAGGAGAGTAAAGCACAGCTCAACCCTCCCAAAACACCTGGGAACACCTGGGAACAGCAGGACACCTGTCCAGGTGACAGCAGGGATGTCAGAATGGCACCCACGGACAGGTAAAATACAGCTCAACCCTCCCAAAACACCTGGGAACACCTGGGAACAGCAGGACACCTGTCCAGGTGACAGCAGGGATGTCAGAATGGCACCCACGGACAGGTAAAATACAGCTCAACCATCCCAAAACACCTGGGAACAGCAGGGGACCTGTCCAGGTGACAGCAGGGACATCAGAACGGCATCCAAGGAGAGTAAAGCACAGCTCAACCCTCCCAAAACACCTGGGAACACCTGGGAACAGCAGCACACCTGTCCAGGTGACAGCAGGGATCTCAGAATGGCACCCACGGACAGGTAAAATACAGCTCAACCCTCCCAAAACACCTGGGAACACCTGGGAACAGCAGCACACCTGTCCAGGTGACAGCAGGGATGTCAGAATGGCACCCACGGACAGGTAAAATACAGCTCAACCATCCCAAAACACCTGGGAACAGCAGGGGACCTGTCCAGGTGACAGCAGGGATCTCAGAATGGCACCCACAGACAGGTAAAATACAGCTCAACCCTCCTGGAACACCTGGGAACAGCAGCACACCTGTCCAGGTGACAGCAGGGACATCAGAACACCCCTCAGCCCCTCCTGCCCAACCCATCCCCGTGGCTGCCAGGACCTGCTGCCCCCCCTGCCCACATTCCCTGTTCAGGACAGGTTGGATTCCCACCCCGGGCCCCCCATGGACACTCCATGACCAATCCCCCCGTGCTGGAGGTCCCCAGGCTGGCGGGAGGGATTTGGGGACGGGGATTTGGGAAGATCCCGTGGTCACAACTGCGGAGTCATCGCACTCCAAATGCTGTCTCAGGGTCTGGTGACAGAGCTGAGCCCTCAACTTCTCCAAAATCCACCTCCCCCACTTCCTGCTGGCCCGGGCTCCAGCGCTTCCAACCCACATTTCTGACAGAAATGGGGAACTTGGGGTTTGGAGTTAGCAAAAAGCTGCTCCCCAATGACTCAGCAGAACTGCCCTGAGTGCTGAGTCAAGGTTTGGTGTTCCCAGCCCAAAACCGCTGCTGCTGCCCCGAGCTCTGCGTGGGGAGAGCAGCACTTGGGTGCCTCGAGTTCCCCTGACCCCGAGCCAAGCCCTGATCCAATCCCAATCCAAACCCTGATCCCAAATCCTGACCCAAACCCCATCCAAATCCTGATCCCAAATCCTGACCCAAACCCCATCCAAACCCTGATCCCAAACCCTGACCCAGTTCTGATCCAAACCCCATCCAAGCCCTGATCCAATCCCAATCCAAACCTTGATCCCAAACCCTGATCCAATTCTGATCCCAAACCCCATAAAAACCCCGGTGACATCCTGACTCAAACCCTATCCAAACCCTGATCCAATTCTGATCCAAACTCCATCCAAATGCTGATCCAATCCCAATCCAAACCTTGATCCCAAACCCTGATCCAATTCTGATCCCAAACCCCATCCAAACCCTGATCCAATTCCAACCCAAACCCCGATCCAATTCTGATCCAAGCCCTGATCCAAACCCTGACCCAAGCCCAATCCAAGTCCCAGCCCAGCTCTCCAGGGGCAGCTCTGGGCCAAAAGACCACCTGAAAAACTCAGGGTTTGAAACTATTTTTACAGGGAAATGAAATAAAAGCTGTGACTTATTGAAATCTTGGGGTGATTGACTGCAGGAGCTGCAGGTTTTCACCTCAGGGATTCCCCCAAACCCCATCCTCCTTCCCAAAGCACTTTGTCCCTAAATCCTGAGCCAGGGGACAAAACCCCTCGGTTCAAACAACACCCAAACCCCTCCATAAAAACACAAACCCCTGTGGATTTACCCCACACCTTCCCTGGAGAAGGAGCTGCTCCATCAGACACAACCCAAGGATTTCTGACAGGGAATCCAACTCAAATTATCCCAATCCCAAAGCCCCAGGAAAAGGAAACAGCCCTGAACAGCCTGAGCCAAGGAGAAAAGAGCTCGCAGGTATCAGGACAAGATCAATTCCTGGGTAAAACAAAAACATCCCTTGGAATGAGTTGAAATAAATCCCAGAAGTTCAAAGCAAGGCTGGAACCTGGGGATCGATTCCCTCCCCTCTTCAGACCCAAATATTTGGGTAATATTTGGATACAAACTTCCCCTCCCTGCAAACATCAAAACAAAAACTGGGACAAACACAAGGATTTGTCAGCCTCATGCTCCTCCTGGAGGGATCCTTCAGTCCCAGGGAAAGCAGAGTTTTGTTGGGAATGAGCTCAGCTCACGGCAGGGCCATTTGTCCCACATGGAGATCCCAGGGGAAAAACAACAAATCTGCAGCAGAGGGAAGAAAAAAAAAAAAACCCAAACAAACACAAAAACTGCAAGGAGCTCCCTGACTCCAGCATTCCTGCAAGGAGCATCCCGATTCCAGCTCCAAACGGGCGGTGATGGCAAAGAAAATGAGGGTAAAAATGAAAAGTAACATTAAAAACTCCCTGCAAAGTCCTGGGAAATGGTGACCAACTCCAAGACATTTTTTTTTTATTGTGTGTTTACAAAGTCTCCAGTTCTTTTCCAGCTAAACAATCCCCTTTTATCCACTCCAGCTGTAGCATCAGCTGGAACGAGATGAAATCCCCACTCCAACAGGAGCAGGAGCTTTGCCAACCGGAATTTTGCCATTTCTGTGTTTGCCAAACTTTGCCTCTCCTGGGAGATCCCAGGAGCCTCAGCTGGGTTTGGAATAGGTCAAAAAAAGGGGGATTTTCCTGCCAAAACTGCTGGGGATCTACACTGAGATATTTTAGGAAAGCAGCTCTGGAAGGAGAGGAACCTTTGGAATATTCTGGTGTTGTACCAGATCCTGTGTTCAGCTCCCACTGTTTCCATTTCTCAGGTGTTTTTAAAATTCCAAGAGTCTCCAAAGCGCCTGTGACTGGGTGGAAATGGAATTAAACCCCTGGGACAGCTGGGGAAGGACTTTTTGGGGTCTGGGGTGGAGCTGCAGCACCCACCAGGAGTTTCTGCCAGGATTTGGGATGATCCCAAACCCAAAATCTGCATCCCGGAGATCCTGGGGATTGGGGAGCTGTTTTCTTCCAGGCAGCAGTGGGGGTTTCTCACCCCCAAAACCAACTGGAAGGACTGGAAGGGCTGCTCAGCACCTGCAATTCCATAATTACAGGGAGCTGAGGGCTCCAGTCCCAGCCTCGTTTTCCCTCCACGGAACTTCAGACTTGGATCAAATGAAGTTTTGACTGTAAATAGCAGGGAATGAGTGAAATTTAAGGCTGATTCCCAAGCAGGAAAGGTTCTCGGGGAGATAAGGGAATTATCAACAAACTGATCGCAGAGACAAAGCTGGAGATTCCTCTGGATCAGGAGGAATTCTTCCAGCCAGGAACCCTGTGGATAAACATCCTCAAACACAGATACAAAGGCACAGAAAAGGCATTAAAAATGAGATAAACATGGACCAACGGGCAGAGCTTGGCTTAATCAGGGCACTTTAACAAGGATCTGCAAATTCCGCTGTCAAAACTCCGCTGTCAAAATTCCTCCCTGAACAAAAACACAGCAGAAAATATCTTCATTTGTTCTTTCTGCTGCATTTCTGGTTCAAGATCCCCCACAGCTTTGTGCCACCCAGCAAAGCAAAGTGTGGAAATTCTCTGCTGAATCCCAGTTCCAGCTGAAATGAAAAGCTTTTTTTTGTTTTGTTCTGTTTTGTTTTTTAGAGGGAGAGGAAGCAGAGACAAACCCAGCCCTGCACCTCACCCGTGGATCCTTTATAAATTTTAACTTCACTTTCTACTGCTCCTGCAGGAATTCAGCCAGGAAAGCCCTGGAACTGCGGGACTCTGTCCTGCTCCAACCCAATCATTAACCCAGAGCCACAAACCCCTGAATCTCCCGGATTTCTGGGCACTTTAGGTGCAGTTTTACCCCTACAGCCCAAATCCCTTTTCCAGAGGGTCTGACACCGCTGCTTCCAGCCCTTGGGGAAATCAGGAGGATTTCTTTGCTTCCCTGAAAACCTCAGTCCAAGGGAAGGGGATCCTCAGCCCCACTGCTGCCGTGACAGCCCCCATAACTCTGACATCCCCCTAAAATGTCCCCAAAGCCCTGAGATCCCCCCTCAAACCTGACACAACTCTGACACCCCCTCAACCCTGAGATCCCCCCTCAAACCTCCCCTCAGCCCTGGGGAAGGGGCTCCTCGGCCCCACCATTGCCCTCCCTCCCTTCTCAGCCCTCACAACCCCCTCAGAGTGAGGAGGGGGCTCCTCGATCCCCTCTCACCCCACAGGGCTGAGGAGGAGGCACCTCATTCACCTCTTACCCCTCACAACCCCCTCAGTCCTGGGGAAGGAGCTCCTCATTCCCCCTCAAAGCCCCCTCAGGGCTCCTCGATCTCCCCTCACCCCTCAGAGCGAGGAGGGGGCTCCTCGATCCCCTCTCACCCCTCAGAGCTGAGGAGGGGGCTCCTCACTTACCCCTTAGCCCTCACAACCCCCTCAGCCATGGGGAAGGGGCTCCTCGATCCTCCCTCACAGCCCTCTCAGGGCTCCTCGATCTCCCCTCAAAGACCCCTCAGGGCTCCTCGATCTCCCTCACCCCTCAAGCCCCCTCAGGGCTCCTCGATCTCCCTCACCCCTCACAGCCCCCTCAGGGCTGAGGAAGGGGCTCCTCACTCTGCCCTCACCCCTCACAGCCCCCTCAGGGCTCCTCGATCTCCCCTCACAGCCCCCTCAGGGCTCCTCCATCTCCCTCATCCCTCACAGCCCCCTCAGGGCTCCTCATTCCCCCCTCACCCCTCACAGCCCCCTCAGGGTTGAGGAAGGGGCTCCTCGCCCCCATCGCTGTCCTGATCCCTCCCTCAGGCTCAGCCCCCTCACGCCCCCGGCCCCGATCCCCTCCTCACCCCGATCTCCTCCTCACCCCGATCCCCTCCTCACCCAGATCCCCCTCAGCCCTCACGCCCCCCGGTGCCGTACCCGAGAGCCCCCCGGCCGCAGCCGTGCCGGGCTGGCGCAGCGCGGGCACCACGCTCCAGGCGCAGAAGGCCGAGAGGCCGCTCAGGGCACCGAAGGACGCGTAGGCGACACGGAGCGCCAGGGCCCCGCTCAGCGCCATGGCGGCCTCGGCGCGGCCCGCCCACGGCACCGCGACACGCCCCGGCAACGGGAACGGGACACGCCCCGGCACCGGGACACGCCCCGGGAACGGAACACGGCGCGGGACACGGGGACACGCCCCGGGATACGGCACCGGGACACGGGAAGGGGACACGGCCCGGGACGGGGACATGCACCGGGACACGCCCCCGGGACACGCCCCCGGACACCGGGACACGCCCCCTCTGCCACCGGGACACGCCCACGGACACCGGGACACGGCACCGCAACACCGGGACACGCCCACGGACACCGGGACACGGCACCGCAACACCGGGACACGCCCACGGACACCGGGACACCGGGACACGGCACCGGGACACGCCCCGGGATACGCCCACAGACACCGGGACACGGCACCGCGACACCGGGACACAGCACCGGGACACCGGGACACGGCACCGCAACACCGGGACACGCCCACAGACACCGGGACACCGGGACACGGCACCGGGACACCGGGACACGGCACCGCGACACCGGGACACGGCACCGGGACACCGGGACACGGCACCGCGACACCGGGACACGCCCACAGACACCGGGACACGCCCCGTTCCAGCGCGCCCCCTGGCGGGCGGGAGGACCGAGGAGGGGACGCGGCGGGACGGGGACACCGGGGGGTTGGGACACGGAGGGCACGGGGGACGTGGGGACACCCCGGAGGGGACACGGAGGGCACGGGGGACGTGGGGACACCCCGGAGGGGACACGGCGATCCCGGGGGACACGGGGCTCAGGCGGCACCCGGGGACACCGGGAGATGGGGCGCGTGTGGCTTTGGGGACATCTCGCCTCCTCCCGGGGGCCCATCCTGTGGGATTGCGGTCTGGGGACACCTCATCAAAGTCCTCAAAGACTTTCTGGGGCTTTTCCGTTCCTTTTTCTCCCTTCCCTTTTTTATTTTCCTTTTTTTTTTTTTTTAAATACTTTTCCCCTTTCTGAGCCCTTGGCTGGGTCCGGCTCTGCTTCATCCGCGGGGACAGAAATTTCCAGTGAGGACTGGGGTGAGAATGGGATTTTCCCACTTATTTCTCATTAATTAATTGTCCCAGCTCACGATGGCTTTTTCCGAATTTCCCTGGTTCAGGCTCTTCCCAGAGGATCTTTCCGGGGGTGGGGAAGCTCGGCTGGGCTGTCGGGCACCTGCTCTAGGTGGCAGCAGCCTCCTTCCCTTTCCCGAGCCGCATTCCCCGCTCTTCATCCCCATCCACACCCCTCCTCCTCCTCATCCATCTCCCTTCCCCCCCTCTTCATCCATCCCCCCATTCCCTCCTCGGTGTCCCCCCATGGAATTCAGCCTTTGGAGCACCCTGGGGTGGTGGAATTGTCGCTGCCCTGGGAACGGGACGGGCTTGAAGGTCCCCTCCAACCCAAACCGTTCCTTGACCCCGGGTCTGTCCCTCGCTGCTGTCCCCAAAGCGGGCTGTGGGGTGACAAACCCCGGGAGCATCCCTGATTTTGGGGGATGGAGTCTTTGGGATGGAGGGATGCGGGTCTGGAGCAGCTCATGGGGAAAGGCTCGTGCAGCACAGCCGAGCCTGGATCCCCCGCGCATTCCTGGCTGGAGACACCGAAGAATTCCCCTGGAGCTGTTCTGCCTCTCACACCTCACGCTGAGCCTCCATCCTGTGGCTCCTTTGGGGTCAGCGACGCTGAATCCCAGCCTGATCCATCCCGGAGCTCATCCCGCTCCCCAAAGCCTTGGTGACATCCCTAAAAACTCCGGGAACATCCCTAAAACCCTGGGGACATCCCAAAAAAACCCGGGGACATCCCAAAAAACCCGGTGACATCCCTAAAAACCCCAGGGACATCCCTAAAACCCCGGTGACATCCCTAAAAACCCCGGTGACATCTCTAAAAACCTCGGGGACATCCCAAAAAAACCCAGGGACATCCCTAAAACCCAGTGACATCCCTAAAAACCTCGGGGACATCCCAAAAAAACCCAGGGACATCCCTAAAAACCCCGGTGACATCCCTAAAAACCTTGGGGACATCCCAAAAAAACCCAGGGACATCCCTAAAAACCCGGTGACATCCCTAAAACCCAGTGACATCTCTAAAA